CGCCAAATGTGGTTTACGAATTTTACGCCCTTTTTCCCCCACTTCGTGCACAATGAAAGGGAATGAAAAATAGGTTACCATAAATTAAGAATTTCGCCACGTGAATTATTCTTAGCGCAAACTGAAAAAAGTGCGCCAAGGTAAAATTTTGAATTTGGCCATAAGTTTCTCACAAAATTTAATATTTAGGCATAATCTGAGTCGTAGAATCAAAATATGGAAAAATTCCATATGCCATTTCAGAAAAGTCCAATTTGTGTCAAAATACCTATGTTAGAACATTGCTACATATAAATCTAATAGATATCCTATATATCCTAAACTGCGCTTTTGACGCTTTTGACACATAACAGACGCGTTAAATTTCGTTAACCGGCCTAGTAGAATGGGAGATATAGAACTGCCACATTTTTTTATGTAGAGTGTACATACAGTAGTGTAGAGAGAAAACACTAGAAATAAAAGGACATCACGAAAGTGAATATGCGTTTTAATAACAAATGTACACTGTCCCCCCCCCCAAAAAAAAAGGCGGCGGACAGTTCTATATCTCTCGTTTTACTGGCCGATTGAAGAAATTCAAACTGCGTTTTTCATGTCTCGAAATCACGACTTAGGATATGTATTAGATTTATACATAGCATTGTTCTAATGTTCTAATATAGGTATTTTGACACAAAATCGAACTTTTTCTGCAATGACATGCCATTTTTTTTCCATATTTCGATTCTAGGATTTCAAATTATGCCAAATTGCCAAGTTTTGTAAAAATCGCACGAGTAGTTTTTAAAATATTAGCTCTCAAAATTTTAGCTCCTCAGTGTTAATTGAATTTGATACATATTTATTAAAAGCTTTTTTCTTTATTAAACTTATTTAGTTCTTCCTTTGATATTTCGAAATTTAAGTTCTGTTGTGAAGTATGAGATATTATAAGTGGCGCCGACGCGCCAAAAAAGTCTTTTAATTCTTGTAACTCAACGTGTTAAGAAGTGTATCTTGAAGCGTCGAAAGGGCTAAATTCCTGTGGCCCTACGCTTGAATATGTATCTATATAGTGTTGTGTATTGTGTTTAATCATCGTAGTAAATGTTGTGTGTGAACTTGGCTTAATCCTTGGAATAAAGTACCGACCACATATAGTTGCCCCCTGTAACTACACCTCTGGATACTTCGAGCTAGACCATGACCGCTCAGGTTCATTCCAAATAAAATTCCCCTATATTTTTATTATTTATTTTTAAATTTGTATTTGTAAATAATTTGTATACATTTTTCGAAACAAATTTTGAATTATAATCCATAAAAATTTTACCAACATCTTAAAGTAGACGTATTTCTAAGCATACCTGCAAAAATTACAATTTTTTATTCAAAATTTTCGAAGATAAGATATACATGAATTTACATATTGGCGTGTTTTGAAATTTGGCATAGTTGTTGAAAGCGATAATAACTTCAAATGTGGTTTAGACACTTGGTTAAAATTATTTGAAAGTAGAAACGATATGACTTTTTTCCCGCTCATTCACAATGTAAAAAAGCTAGGAACTCTGTAGCTTTTTTTCCGCTCTTGCACAATAGAAGGGAAAGAAAAATAGGTTGCCAAATATTAAGAAGTTCGCCAAGTGAATTATTCTTGGCGCAAAGTGAAAAAAAATGCCCTAAGTTAAAGTTTTAGATTTCTTCACAAATTTCATACCAAATTTTACAAAATTTAATATTTAGGCAAAATTTGAGTCGTAGAATCGAAATATGGGAAAAAACTGGTATGTTATTTCAGAAGAGTTCCGATTTTGTGTCAAAATATCTATGTTAGAACAATGATATATATAAATCTAATACATATCCTAATTCGCGCAGTAACAGATGTCAAGGAAAGTGACTGAAGAGTCTTCCAGTAACTGTAGTGTAGACCTCACATCTCCGGCTCTTGCAGTTTCGATTATTCTGATCAGTTCCCCGACAGCTACTACAATGTACGCAATTAGTCCTCATTGTCACTGATGCAATCAGTCCTCATTGCCTCATCAGCTGAATTTTCCAGGAGAAGTTATCTAAGCATAACCCAGAAGAAGTAAGCACATCTGACCATCATGCCCTATCTACTGTTGGCCAAATGTAGCCTTTAAGCGGCTGCGATACCAGATGGATATCGGCTGCCTCCACATTTTTACAATCATCCACTCTACTACCTATAAATCCATATATTAAATAAAGCTTTTTTTGCGAGAATACTGAACCCAGTGTCATCTACCAAGCCAGGAAAGCATTTCCCGCCCCGCATTGCTCTGTGATTCCGAGTAATATCATATCCGAGGGAGAATGGTGTAGGCATCAGAGTCATCGGACTCGGGTCAACTTCCGTCAAAACTGATTTGAATTCCGAACTGTAAAATTGCCTGACGTAAATTTTTAATATAGGAAGATTTATAGAATAAGCAACTAAAATTAAGTATATGAACGCAACATATAGGATGTAAAAAGGCGGAACGAGATGGCGACGGGGGTAGATAGGCGTTCAGACTTGATGAGATAACACAGTGTGGAAATTTTTGAGGAGAGTTCACGTGAGGTATTCATAGAATCCAAATAGTCTTATCACATGATAAACATATTGTAAGTGGAGTAACTGCAGGCAGTGTTGATATACAGTGTCTCAAAAAAGTGATGGGACACTTGTGCTTTACAAAAGGAAACTGTAATAAAATAAATTTAAAAAACATGTAAAAATTTTTTGTGGGTGTGTTTCATACTTAAATTTAGTAACAATTATTACATAACATAGATTTTCTCAAAATATTAAAATATTAATTTAATAAAAATACAATTGTTTAGAACGGAGCAAAAAATGGCTCACATAAGTGATGGGACACTTACTTTTCCATCAAATATTTATCCAAATAGTTTGCTTTTTAAAAGGTTTTAATATTTTGTTGGATTTCCTTTTACTTTTAAAACAGGATTTAATCTTCTTGGGATGGATTCGATTTTTTTTTTTTTTTTTTTTTTTTTTTTTTTTTTTTGTTGTGATTTTTGGAGTGATTTTACCCCATTCGTCTTGAAGCAATGATTTTAATTGTTGTTTTGAAGAAATGGTGTGTTTGCGAATTCTTGATTCCAATTCTTGCTAAATATTCTCTATGGGATTTAATTGTGGATATTGTGGTGGTGTTTTTATTACTTCAGAACAGTTATACAGCAGCCAGAGTCTAATGTTCAAAGCAGTGTGCGTGGGGTCATTGTCCTGGTAGAATTTAAAATCGTTATGAAGGTTCAATTTTCGCGCTGAAGATTTCAAATTTTGATTTAAAATGTCAATATACTTGTACTGATTCATTATACTGTCAATAAAAACAAGAGTACCAACTCCAGCGGACGACATACACCCCCATACAATAACTCCTCCTCCACCATGTTTTACTGTTGGCACCAAGTTCTGTTTTCGAAATTCTTCCCTGGGTTTTCTCCACACCAAGATTCTACCGTCAGAACCAAATATATTAAATTTACTCTCATCAGGAAATATAACTTCATTCCAGTAATCAGAATTCTTATTTATGTTGGATTTTGTGAAAGCCAGTCTGAGTGTTCTATTCTTTTCACTTACGAAAAATTTTTTCCTGGCTGCTCTTCCGTGATATCCAGCAGATCGAATTACTCTTCTAATAGTCTCAGGTTTAACAATTACTCCATATAATGCTTGTAAATCAGCAGCAACTTTAGGAGCACTCATTCTTGGATTTTTTTTTAATATTTCGAACGATAATTCACTTTATTCCATTGGATAGCTTTGCTGGTCGGCCAGGTCTTCTTTTATCCTGAATCATATGATTCTTTTTATATCGTTTAATGATATTGTAAACTGTTGAATGACTCAAGTTAACTGTTTCAGGAGTTTCTCTAATAGATTTTCCACGTTCAATATGCAAATTAATAACTAATTTTTGAATTTCAGGCATAGTTTCTTTTCGTTTAGAATTCATGGCTGCACAGAGCTAAAAAACACAAAAATTCCAAAACAAACTGGAGAAAAATACTACAGACGATTTTATAAATTATTGCCAATTGCTTTTGAGTAAAAATAAAAACCCAAAAAAATATTTTTGTTGTAGTACGTAGTAGTATCTAATGGTGTCCCATCACTTATGTGAGCCATTTTTTGCTCCGTTTTAAACAATTATATTTTTATTAAATTAATATTTTAATATTTTGAGAAAATGTATGTTATGTAATAATTGTTACTAAATTTAAGTATGAAACACACCCACAAAAAATTTTACATGTTTTTTTAATTAATTTTATTACAGTTTCCTTTTGTAAAGCACAAGTGTCCCATCACCTTTTTGAGACACTGTAGAAGGATGTACTAGAATAAAGAAATATATTCTGAATCGTATAACAACACCCTACTCCTCCTATAATTCCGTAAACCTGGTACTGAGACACCGTCTCCTTGATTGGTTAGTGGTTAGCGATACTGTCTGCCCCATCGCTAGGCCCAGGTTCAAATCCTGGAGAAGGTATGGATGTTTGTATGTGTACAGTTTTTGTGTGGCAGAGGATCACTTAAATCCTTTAGTCGGACATCCTTTAGAATGCTTTGATGGCAGGGAAAGAAAAGGGAGAAAACCACACTTTCATTCCCTGGGCAGTTCTCCATCAACATTGTGCTGGCGTTGGACAGTTCGTGAAGTGGAATTAAATTCAATCATTATGTTATATATTTGTTGCGATAAGTTCTGATGTTCCTTATTTTAAGGTTTTTATTTCCTCTAAAGAATGTTCGTTTGCTTATGAACTATTATTTGTATTTTATGTTTTTGTAGAAAACAAAATATTTAATTATAATTTGTTACTTTGTTTTCATAAAATGTAAAGTGAAACCAAACCAGAATTTCAACAAAAAATTCTTTGGATAAAAAAAACAATTTATTTTTAATGATAAAATGAATTAAAAATCGATTCTAACGCTTGAATGTATGCTTTTCTTTCCCTAGGAAACAAGTCCTTGAACAGAAGTTGAGGCCTTTAAGGAAAGCAAAGCCCCTCACAACATATCAGGAAGTTTTATGAATTTATGATAGCAGGTAAATTTTTATTTCCAAACTCAGCGTCTTTCCACGGAAAAGAGCACAGAGGAAATTTTCTCTCTCACACATTCTGCTTGACAGCTAGAATTATATTGGCAGGGAGTCGTGGTTAGAAAGTGCTGGACTCTTTTCCCCTTGTTTTCATATCTACACACTCTTCGTTAACATTTCCTCCAATATTTTCAATCTAATACTCTCTGTATTTTCATTAGTGATACTTTAACCGTTTTAACTTTTTTATAGGTATTGGAAAAAAAAATGGGCTCCATTTCTATTATCCCTTTAAATACACATTATACATTATTTAGGGCTTAAATTCAGCCGAAACCAGTTTGAACTATTTCCTAGGTTTTGAGTGAAACTGCAATTCCAATCAGAGAACACAATAAGACGAAGTCTTTTATTTTATAAATTATTTAACTACTTATAACTAATTTAATTATTCATTGAATTATTAAACTAGTGAATTAATAATTCGTTAAATTCTTATTTATCTCTTTATGATTTTATTTAATTTTAATTTTAATTAATTAATTGTTTTAACTATTACATAGTTATTTTTAGCCCAAAGGGCGTTAGCCCAGAAGGGATAAAATAAAGACGGATTTCTTGTAGCTTTAAAGACTAGATTTTTAAGTATGGCAACGCCACACTGGCTAACTGTCTAAAGCGAAGGATGCTTTCATGGAGGACATTTTTAGGTGAACATTCTGGAATTCACTAGTGTAGTTTCAAAGTGAATTCTTTTACTTCGAATTCTTAGCTACCTAATTTAGTTAGCTGTAATTGCATCTTTTCCCTTTCTACTTATATACCTATTACCTATAAACGATACTCTTTTTATTATACAAGCTTACCAAGAATGAAATATGGTATTTTTATGACATTCTCTGTAAAGTATGTATTATGTTAAATCGTTTCAAACAACTTTGATTTAATTCTGTCACTCAGAAAGATCAAACTGAAAACTAGTAATTTTCAGTATGTGTACATTAACTGCCTAATAGACATCATAGCGATATTCAGTTTCACTTCATGGTTTAACAAACTCATCTAGCCTAAAACTTGCACCTGTTTGTGTTATTCTTCTTGAATTAGTCTTATTTCCTTCACTTTAAAACCTACTTATGGCTGAAACCCCAGAGGTAGGAATGTAGTGGGAATAAAGGTTACTTGTGACATCAGGATACATTCATTTTAGTCTTTGCGAACTGATAATTCAACTTGTCTCGTACATGAAATGAGACAATGCTCCATCTTGTTTAAATACCCGCAACTCAGCTTTTCCTGTTTCCAATTATTCAGTTCGAAAGAATAAAACTATATGTAGAATTCAAATTCACAATGAAATTAATATTTGATTAAAGTACGAAAAATTACTTTTGTTACTCATCAAGTAGAATCAGACATTGAAATTAGGAGTTTTCGAATGTGTTTTAGCGGTGCGGAGGATAAATAAGACGCTTGCAACAGGAGGCAGATCCAAAGGCCGGAAGTGTTTAAGTAGAATCGCTTTCGGCATTTGCATTAGTGGTAGGATACTTTCAACGAAACAGACCCATGTTCGATCCCCAAGATCATCTACCATTTTCAATGAAACTTGGGACATATCAGGCCTCACTTCATCTGTGCTTAAAATGGAGACACGAGCAAGCTAATGCTGACATCGTTATACAGGTGAATACATAAGTGACAACAACACGCATCTTCGCCCACCTGGAGAGAAATAACTACCGATCTCACGTGCACTATGAATGGTACCACACCCTCAGTGCAACAAATATATGAATTAGGCACGCTCACGCTCTGCTGGAACAAAACATTGCGCAATGACCACCTATATGAAGATACAGGGCTTGCACCCACCCCAACAAACTAAGCTGAATCCCGAAAGCCAGTCTTGTCGTTTCATATTACATTAAAACTGCTGGAAGCCTATAGCGGTCTCGAGCACCAAACAGACACTTGCACGAGAAAACAGATTGAAATATCGAATGCGATTGCATAGATGCATTTTTCAAAAGGCGGTATAATATTTGACCTATACGAAACAAACCCAAGGTCGATACTCAAGAATCCTCAAAGACCGGAACCACGTAGCGCAGCGCTTATTACCACTTCAAAGTAATATTTTTAGCACATCCATCTGACGGTTATACAGACTGAAATTATCAGAAACAGAGAGTATGCTTGCTTGCAGATGTGATAAGAGCTTCTCAACAAAAACTCGAAATAAACTGACACAATTCCCAATATCAGTAAAGGTCAATTTAAACCTTGTCTTGCCTTAATCGTGAGGAATCTAAGCAGTCAAATCTTACCGGCTAATGGAAACAGCAGAAATTCAAAGTAAAATAAAAGCCAGGCTAAGCTGTGAAACGCTTTCGTCACTAACTTTAAATTAATTTACATTCTTGTAGAATGTGACGGAGGTAGAAAAGCAGAAGTAATAAGATAATTAGTTAATTAAAATAAAACCTTTCATAATATGTTGAAATTATATTATTTTTTCTTTCCCCCGTTCTACACTGTACAAAGTTATTTTTTCAAGCATTTATTCGCTAAGTCTTCATCATATTTCTCATATTTTGGAGGAATCTCTGAATGCCTGTACGAGAGTACGTATTTGGATTATAAGCCTGAGTATTCTGGATAATGCGGATACCTGAACTATGATCGGCAAATGATTATCGAATTTTACTTTAGTACTAGTGTTTCATACTTCAGACTGTAAAAGAGAATCATAAAGGTGTATCGTGTCAGGTATCCGTATTTCTAACAGACAGGATTTTCATGTGTTCATGTCAACTACACTGATAGAGCTCATAACTTACTAATAGAAGAATGATACGGATACACAGAAGCCAAATATGTAGTTATAGTGCAAAATAATTGGGACAAAGTGATTTTTTTGATAATTCATGTACAAACTTTCACTTACAATGATAATAATAAAATTAATAGAAAATATGTCCTCCTTCAGCAGAAACGGCTTTTAGAACGCGCTTAAGTACTGATTCAACTAATTTTGTGCATATAGTTTTACCTTTTTATAGCTTTCGTAACCATGCGCTATTTTGTCATACAATCCATTTTGATAAAATATTACTTAAGAAAGCGCTACAAACTTTCGATCGGATTTAAGCCTGGTAAATTCCAGGCCAATCTAGTACAATAATTTTACTCGTATTTCCCAACATGAGCCTTCTAAAAGGTTAAGAATTGTGGCATGGAGCCAAATCACGCTGAAATATATCTGCAAGGGTTTTTAATAAAGCACAATTCTAGTTTTAGAATTTCTGTGTATTTCTACGAATTCATCATCCCGTCAATAGAAACTACACTTTCAGTGATATCTGCAGTGAAACAAATCTCAAACCATTTGTTTTTGAGGATATTTTTCGGTTTGTTTGATATGTTGAGGGCTTATCGATTTACCCTCGCTTTGTCTAACCACATGAGATTTGTAACCATGAACAAAAAATGAGTCTCATTGTTGAAAATGGCCTTTTTTACAGTCATCTATGGTCCTAGATTTGTAATTTTTGGCCCACAATAATTATTTTGCTCCAGTTGACGAGTCAAATGCTGTTTTTTTAAGTTATCTTTCTCGCTTTCCGACGAGCAGTGATAAGTCCACTTGGCATATGAATATCAGTACCAATAAGATAATAGATCTATTTTAAGGCCCGTACTAGTTTTTGTTAGGTTAATAAAAATTGCCTCTTCAAATATCAGGGAATGGAAAGGTCATCTCCATAAGAGTAATATTTTTTCTTAAGTGAAATTATCAGCTACAAAAGAAGCTATTGAAGTGGACATTCTGAAAAGTATCAACAAATTTACCATAAAATCTGACTCCTAAGCAGCTATTTTAGCGACTAAGAATCCTTTACCTTCCTCGGCATCGATTTCCAACATAAATTCTTTTCTTGCCAAAATTCCAAACTGCAAAGTTCAAATTTCATGGATCAAAGGATATAGTGACCAGTTTGGTAATGATCAGGCAAATGAATTAACCAAAGAAGCAGCTCTAAATCAAGATGGTGTTGAAATTACCTTTACTCAAATTTTAAGTACCAACTAAAACAACTTGTTTCAATGTCTTGGCAGTATTAGTGGAATAGTGCCTCACAGAGAAGACTCACATATAGCTTGATCCCCAATGTAAGTGTTGTATCTCTGTGTTCGAATCATTCATTAAATTACTATATAGCAGGACACGGACCCTTCCCTACATATTTTTGCGCAAGAAAGATGGCGAAGATGTGAGGGACAGGGAACTCCCGATCATTATACTTTCCAATGCTCCTTAACTGGGGATATTCACATAAAATCTGTGAGAACTGATCTCCCGGAATGCCAAAGGTTTCTAATTAAAGATAAACATCAGTATCAGAAGTTTCAAAAACTTATGTAACTATTGTCTTCCTACGGCTTAGATCTTTGTCAAGTATAAATTCTCATACTGTATAAATTTAGTGAACTTTATATCCTGTTAATATGTACAAAATGATTCAACTTTATAAAACTGTAATAACCTTTTATAACTGAAATAATCCCATGGATGCCTACCTCTTTAGCGTTATTATTACAGTTCATTATAACATTGTGCTCCCAATATTTATTATATTTTATCTGTTACTTTGTGGAGTTTCAACCTGTTATCTAACAGCTAAATGTGTAGAAACCTCGTGAAGAAGTACGTGAATATTCGCTTTAGTTCAGAAACAGATACTTAAAACTCAGGAAGGGTTAATTTCCTTTTATTTCTCAAAATAAGAATTGAACAGTCGGCTCCTTTCTCAGAGCGTACAGCAAAGCCTCCACTTGGGCCTGAATTCGACTTAAATACCGCTCTTACTCATTTGCATTACCGCGATTCTAAAAACAAATTCTGGTAGCAAATTGTAAGCTGAAATTAGGAGGGATAGGAAAGTAGCTTTAACTAAAGAAACTGTTAAAAAGTTAGGATAAACCTTAGAACTTAATAAGTT